GAATGAATTGAATGAATACTTAACTCAATGAATGAATTGAATGAATACTTAACTCAATGAATGAATACATAACTAAATGAACGAATACTTAGCTCAACAAAAATGAATAAATCAGTGTGATTCAATTAATTGGGATTAATGAAATTCTTAAGTTACTTCCATGAGAACTGAATCAGTAATTTTTTATCATTAACATTGAATAGGTCAATAATCAATGATAAGTTACTGAACAGATTTGATTTCAAGCTTGTGAGAATCAATGGATTTTTCAATCGTAGCTCAAACCATTTCAATGCTATCCTAGAGTCACTAAGATTTATAAGATATTTCACTAAGGCCTGCATGAATAGATCTGACAAGATGTGCGCGTCAGTAACACTGAACAGATCAGATTAGCAACAGCTTAATGGAATGGTTTTGATAAGCTTTTTAGATCAGTAAGAATGAATAAATTCGAGAAATTTAATAGTGGGTTTTATTAAAGGGCAATATATCCACGTAATACGATCTCGAAAGTCCAAGTGAATAAAGCCCAATGAGTCAGTTAGACTTGCAACTGATAACACTGAGAGTTAAATGAATAGTTGTGGTGATTGACTGGGTCAATAACACTCAACAAGTATATCCAATAATTGTGATAAATGAAGAGTTTGCAAAAGCTCCCTCAGCCTTTGCGGCTAACTGAGCCAATGGTGCTCAGTCAGTAGTTCCAGCAATAATTTGATAAACTGTTTGAGCAGGATCATTTAGATGAAAGGGAAATTTATTTGTAACGTAGATTTTCAAATCCTTCGAACGAAGAAGCCGAAACACCAAGCCCCAACCTTCTGGCCAAATCTCTTTATGGTATGCAAATAAATCGACAATTAACTAAGAAAAGCGACAGATAAGAGGACACACGGACTTAATCGGATTAGAGATGTGGTATGTTTTGCTGGGATTTATTTTGACGGTATGATCGGCCATCAGACATAAAAGAAAATGATGTGCATTTCTGTCATAGTTATTTTGATTTTTTTTCAATTTTGCCATCCCGCAGGATTGTTATAAAAAAAAAAAAAACAAATAAGAAGATTACAATCGACCACAGCCGACCATTAAATACCCTACACCACATTGTCTAACACAATTCTTATTTTGATTATAAAACAGCAAAACTATATCGTGCTTCTAAAGGCAAATTTTTCAAGTGCGTATTTATCGGGAAGCGAGGCGAAAATGCAACCTAATGTAGTACAAGTGCAATACTTACATAAAGTAGGCGTAAATGGTCCAAATTTTGTAGAGTTCATTTTGGTATGAAATTACTATTAGGGGTCAATTTTCGTCACCACATATTAACACTCAAACTTTTTTGGTCTATAGAGGATCAATTTTCGTGAAAATCATAATTAGGGTAGCATCCGAAAAATGGGCCGAGGTGCCCCAAATGTGGTACAGTTAATCTTTTTATGGACGGACAGACGGACAGACAGGCTTAGATCAATTCAGATTCCAAATCGGTCAGTACAATAGAAGGTGGGTGTATCTTAAGCCCCTCTGCGATTTACATAACTTTGCAGTAATTTAATGTGTACCAAAAGTAATGTAGGGTATAAAAGCAATCCAATATCAATTTTAATACAAAATAGGGTGGTTGAGTCCCTCAAGCCACGCAGAAAATACGCCTTTTGAGGTGTGATGTCTTTGTGATGTTGCCCAAAATAGGCGTAATTACTTATGCCGCCAAAGACCCATGCTTTTTATATATCCCTAATGAAAAGTTTTTAATGATAACTCCTGAAATTTTACAATAAATAAATGAAATTAAAGCTTTATGGTAACTTAAAGTTGATTTTATTATTATCTTTCGATAATGGATTTATTCCTAAGTAGATTTTATGAACTAATAGAAAATGTTCGCGATTTCTTTGCATTCGTTCTGCTTATTGCGTAGATGATGCTTGTTCAGCCAACACCTCAGCAGCGTGTCACCATACGTGAGGAGTTACGTGAACCTGAAAATCCTGAAGATATTGAACGTGATATCAAATTGATACGTGAATGGCTTGACACTCAGCCGCATTTGCCCAAAGATATGGATGATACACGCTTGGCGACTTTTTTGCGCGGCTGCAAATTCAGTTTAGAAAAAGTGAAAAAGAAACTCGACATGTACTATACGATGCGCAATGCAATTCCAGAGTTTTTCTCCAATCGTGATATCACTCGTGAGGAGTTATCTATAGTATTGGATTATGTGTAAGTACAAGTTATATTGAATGTTAACTGAGTGGTTATAATATTTATTTTTTGCTTCTCTATCAGCCATTGTCCAACTTTACCCGGTTTAACACCTAATGGGAGACGTATTACATTTATACGTGGCATTGACTGTGATTTCCAACCCAGCCAAATTAATGACGCAATGAAAGTGGCATTAATGATTGGCGATGTGCGTCTGGCTGAAGAAAATGTGGGGATTGCCGGTGATATCTTTATATTGGATGCTGCTGTAGCTACAGCCGTCCATTTTGCCAAATTCTCGCCAGTTGTTGTTAAGAAGTTCCTTATTTGCGTGCAGGAAGCGTATCCGGTTAAAGTGAAGGAGGTTCATGTTATTAATATTTCACCGCTGGTCGATACCATTTTTAAATTTGTTAGCCCCTTTGTTAAGGAGAAGATACGCAATCGTATTACATTTCATAATGATGTGGAAAGTTTGTACAAGTGTGTGCCAAAAGATCTACTGCCAAATGAATATGGTGGTAAAGCGGGTCCGATTGTTGAATTGACTCAACAATGGAAGAAAAAATTAGCCGACTATACTCCATGGTTTAAAGAGCAGGAAGAAAAAAAAGCAAATGAAGCCTTGCGTCCGGGTTCGCCTAAAACAAGTGACGATCTCTTCGGCATGGAAGGTACTTTCCGGCAATTAAACATCGATTAAATATCATTAACGGAATTGCACGAGAAAAGCAGAGGCCGGTATTATTATTCTTTGGTTTGTCTTTTTGGTGTTAAAGCAAGAGATTTTCTGTTTTTTTTTATTTTCCTACAGTTTGTTATTAACTTTTCCAGTTATTTTTTTTTTTTTGGATAATTCTTTTTCTATTATGAAAACATATATTTGTTTTAACTATGCCTCGTAAATAAATGCATAAATTTACCAAATCATTAAAAGCAGACAAAAAAAAAAAAAAAAAACAAAAGAAATCTTACTTCGGTTAAATCAAAGCTTGCCTATAATATTTGATAATAAATTTCGTAGATGATGCATATCGCTTTTTGTCTTATGCTTACTTGATTTGGCAACACTTTATAGGTAAATGGAAAAACTAAAAAGCTCCACTATAATGCGGATATAGTCGATCATGATGGGCAAGCACTTGACGTAGTTTCAATGATTTTCGTATTTGACGTGGAAATTTTACTAAAGAACAGTTATAGACCTAAGAGTGAAAGGATAGACTAAGTTCTCTACTGTTTCGTAGTCACAGTTGAGATAAAATCGGATGACTGCACATTTTTATATCCTACACCTACACTTGTAGTACGGAGTATATTAAGTTAGTGCTGCCACGCAAAAGAGCTTGAGGTGGTCCCACCTTTTATTATACCAATCGATACAGAATAATCATATAAATTGATAAAAGCGTGTCTATCCATCTGATGTCATATTGACGTAAATTTGTGTAGAAGTCGCAATTTTTGAAATATTTTCATGAAATTTGTTACAATGATTTGTTTTGACCCAAGGACGAAGACTATTGAAAATGGTTCTCATCGATCCACTTTTTTGAAAAATATTGTAATTTTCAATATTTCTCCACAAAAGTGACTAAATAGTAGTATTTCGGCATTCTAAACTGATATGAAAACTATGGACGGTTGTGGCAATTTTTGAACACAGTCTCATATAACGAAAGCTTAAGTTCATACGATAGAAAGATATAACTTTTTATGCTTCATCATGAAAATTATATTATATTAGTAATTTAACATAAAAAACGAATTGTACCAAATATGGACCGTCTCGACCTATTTTATGAGTCCTATTCTAACCAGGATTTTCACGAAAATTGACCCTTCGTATAGTAGAAAACTCTGGGACTCGTAGCCCCCCTTCAACGCAAAAGGTACAGTATAGCCAAGTAATTAAGAAACGCGACCAACATTACAGTGCTCGTTAGATAAATTAGTCGAGCACACATTTCCTTATTTCTCTCTCTCTTCACTTCTTTCAGATCATCAAGTTGTTGCAGTTATAGGTATTGGTCGTATGTAATAAAAAAGATGGGCAGAGAGACAGACGTGTAGCTAAAACGGTTATTGTTCATACTTATAAAGAATATATATGTATATACATACATATAAGTTTCTTACTTCCAAATGGTACAAGAGAATTTGGAAATTTATTATTGTTATCATTATACCGGTGACTGAATAATGAGGAGTTAACGAACGTTTTTAACGGTAGCTTCAGAGTGTACATATTGTTGATCGATTTAAGCAGTATATCCGTCCGTCCATCTATTTAAAGTCTGTTGAAAATGTTCTCTGAACCACTTCAAATATCTTAGAAGATGGGCCATATCGATCAAACGACATGACTACAGTGTGAGGTAAACTGAAAATGCCTCTGCTTTTTTTTTGAATAAAAAAAATTGGTTTTGCTGACGGCTCAGAAACAACAATAGATGAACCTATGAAAACTTGAACGCATTTGCTATGGGCGATGCTATAGTACCCAATATTGTGGTGGATCAAAATTGAATTTTTTCTTCTACACGTATTGAAGGCGCAAAAGCAAACTTCGAAAACCGTACAATGCAAATAAGTTCTTAGCCAACTTCAAATTTGGAATGCACCTAAACATGTCCATCTGCTCATCTGTTTGTCTGCGCAGTTGTGTAGTATTTGTAGTAAACATTCTCCCGTTCACAAAAACGCAGGCATCGTCAAGAAATTTGGAACGGAATTTGAAAATAACCCAAACTCTTCGAAGGATACGCCTACAACGTCCGCAAGCGTATGTACCAAAAATCGTGAACACCATTGCTTTCCATTTTTTTGCTTGTTACTCGTAAAGTACTGCACATACGCCACACGAAATGCAACCAATGCATACGATGGCGTAAGCAAATTTATATTTTTCATAATTTTCTGACTTTGTTTAGTTTACTATAAACTTTCCTTATTTCACAAACACTAAAGCATCGCTTAATACGATTAACAGGATAGGATTGGCAAAATTATCTATTGGAAGAAACGTTATAAACTTTTTCCTTGACCTACTATTCTGAAAGTGTTCCCGTTATTGTTAAGGATCTTTGCTTGCCTTTCTTTTTATCGTTTTTTTTTTTGTCTTCGCTTTTAGAATAACCGCATAGCCTTAGAGGAGCAGAAGGTTAATGTTATCGCATTTGCTTAACAAAACAAATCTCTTCCATGTACAATAATGTAGTGAGACTTTCTTAGAATTTGCTGCAGTAAGATTTTATCTCTTTGATCCTAAGCTATAGCAATTTTATTACTTCCTTGTCAGTAGAAAAGCTCAAGACTTATGCATTCAAGTGATTTTTTGTTTTTCTTTTGCCTGAGTATGCGTACGGCTGTGTGAATATGTATATGTATATATAAATCGTATATACAAACGTTGCCATTAAGTGGGATGGTTTTCTTTGAATAAAAATAAAAAGCAAGGCAAAATAGTAGCCCATGAACATGACTCTACACACACACACAGACACATACACACACACATAAAATAAAGCATATAGGACGAAGCTAATATTGTACAAACCATCATTATCTGCATTGTCGTCTTCATCTTCATTACGAACGAAAAGAGATTTTCTTTCAATTGCCATCAGCAACTAAAAAGACATGACATTATCTACACATACACACATGTAAACGAACATACTTATTAAAAGAATTACAATGATATGAGATGCGTTTCTATAATATGATCAAAATTTCACATGCCATGCATTGTAATCATTACTTATTTCTTTTATTTTAGACACAGATAGTCAGTCTTACATTGCCTTACATGCTTATGGTTTTAATAATATATCATTAGGATTTTTCATAATAAAAGCTTATCTTGTTCTCTCATAATAAAGGATGCTTGAGGTAACATATATTTGTGATTCTAAGATATAGATCTTAAGTACGTTTCGATTGTAATTAAGTTATCGAAAAACTTAATAATAAACTTAGGGATAACAAAAATTTCCTACATTTGAGCTTTAAAATTCTTATGCCTGAAGGAGACAATAAGGGATCATGGTATTAATAATAGGGAAACGAGAAGATTTATTATTCTCTCAGATTTACTGCTTTTCCCATATTTCTTTTTACTCAAGATAGTAAAAGATATGACAAGAAATGTGCAGCGAATACAAAGAGCTGAGTATGGGAAAGAACACCAGGGCAAAATCTGTTTTATACATCGCTTGTGGTGCAAGGTATATTAGTGCGGGTAAGTTAGTGCGGGCTTATGTAATACGTAGAAGGGCTTAATGTAGACCTACCTTCTACTATACCGACCGATTCAGAGTCATAATCTGAATTAGTATAAGCGTGTCTGTCCAGCTGTCCGTCTGATATCTGTCAAGGTAAATTTGTGCTACAGGTCGGTATTTTTGATGAAATTTAGTACAGTAACTTGTTTTGACCCAAGGACGAACGCACTTTTTTGACCACTCGCCATATGAGGCCCTATTCTGGAAAGTCGTTATATGTATCGTCGCATATGGGAAAAAATTGTAATTTTTAAATTTTTCCGCAAAAGTGGCTGAGTAATAATATTTCGGCATTCTAAATTGATCTGAAAACTTTGGGCCAGCTGGGCCAATGTTTGCATCCTCTCTCATAAAACAAAATCTTATGTTCATACGACAAATATGGTACAATTTTGAACGCTTCATGAAGAAAAATATATCATAATAGTAATTTAACAGAATAAAATTAACTGTATCAAGGTTGGGCCATTTTCCCCTACATTTTGGATCCTACCCTAATAACGGTTTTCACTTAAATTGATCCATTGTAGAGCAGAAAAGTCTAAGTTTTAATATGTGGGAATGAAAGTTGACTCTTATTAGTAATTTCATACAAAAATAAGTATTGTGTTAGACAATGCGGTGTAAGGTATTTAAAGATTGGCCTTGCCCGACTGTAATGTTGTTATTTGTCTTTTCCTGTCTTGAGTAGTGTGTTTACATAAAAAGATCTAAAGATCTAAACTTTAATTGAAAGAATGTTTCTACCCGAGTAAGTTGCACGATTAGCTTAATACAAGCGGTCATATTGCTTTAAATTGTAATTAAGCAAACTTACGCTTATATATATATATACATATGTATACGTATATATTTTATGAACATATTTACTTCTGGGTCATAACAGGCGAAATGGTCAAGCATATTTGAAGCTTAAATTTGCTATATATATATATATATATACATATTATATATTATATAAATATATGTAATTCTCTTTTTACACGAGTTAAAAAGAAGAAAGTTATTTTTTTATGCGAATTGCTTTATTTTAACACGATTTTCAATATTCCATGAATTTTTGTAAAGAATTTTTTTAATTAAATTTCTGATGAAATCTTATTTTTTTTAAGTTGCAGTACGCTTTTGCCGTTCTCGCTAGTCATATATATGTACTGTAACTTCAAGTTATACTTTTCACAATTCAGTTAGGTTATGGCGATTATATAGCTATGTATTTTTTACGCTGTTATGTTTGGTTTTTCAAAGAGCTTTTTATTTTCTATAATATACTTAGCGAATTAAAATGTGCAAGCGTGAGAAAAATTCTCAGTGAACTCTGACAAGAATTTTTAAGGCTTATTGTAGCTTTCAGTTGCTTTTTTAGGTCTGGACACAATCTACTATTTTTCCCTTTAGTCAAAACATTTTTTACATGAATTTTTCCCACGATTTTTTTACGCGATTTTTTTTACACGAATTTTTTGGTAACATATCTATCTTGTAAAAAGAGAGGTGTACATATATGTTATGTGTATAGATTGTATATGTTTATAAATTACTGAAGAAAAGTCCTCTGCACATGCGGGCACGGTAGTGATCAAGAAGGATTTTAAGTATAATGGAAAGAAAGAAAAGAGCAGTATTTGTACACATTCGTAGCAGTTGAACTCATAGGTACGTCAGGGTACAGATTGGCCTCAAGCACAAGACTAACCCGTTCGATAAGTAAATTTCGTCCGTCTGTTTGTTCTCATAAGGCTTGGA